TTTTTTTTTTTTTTTTTTTTTTTTTTTCTTCCTTGTCGATAAGAAGTATAATTTTCAGAGATCATCAACAATACAATTGATATTACATGAAAAACCTTGTTAGAACATACAACAACAACAGCAAAAACAACAACAACAATAGTTGATAAGAATTGTTGTTTGCCGGCGATAACCTCATCAACGAAATTTTGTCACCAATACAGAGCAATATTGGCTTCAGACCGTCTCTAACAACCACTGTTGGTGACTGCTTCATTGTTTACTGTTTTTTTTTTTTTAACAGGAAATAAAAGAATAAATATAGTTTTTGTGCTATTTTATTTTACTGCTTCTCAATCCATTATTTGACGGGGCTAACATTTGGAGAGCATTTTGGTATATGCTGATTATCATTACGGAACAGTGGACAAATAAAAAACGAAAAAGATTTCTATAACAAAATTGTGCGGTAAAAATTGTATGGTGTCGTCGTCGATGTGTGTGTGTGTGTGTCTGTGTTTGAATGTTTGTATTTCTGAATTGTGCATTTTATGCAGGTTTGAGCATAGAATAGAAACTGTAGAAAATATTGTGGTTTGAAAAAAAAAAAAGGAAAAAAAAAAGCACAGCAGTTAGTTTCCTTTGGCTTTTTAAAAACTACTACTGTTCCTTTTGGTCCTGTTCTCATTTGGTACACATTTTGAGTGCTACAGAAGACCGGCCAATGAAAGAATACAAAATTGTGGTTGCCGGAAACGGTGGAGTTGGAAAAAGCGCATTGGTAAGTGTATGAACTTCTTTTTTTATACCCTAATATTTTAACAATTAAAATATGGAACTGTCTACAAAAAAAAAAAATACATTTTTTTGGTTTTATCTTCAACAGCACTTTAGATTTATTTACTGCATTGTTTATTGGTTTTTCTTTTCTTTCTATGATAAACTGTTGTCAGTTTTTTGCATAACAATTTAGGTGATAAAAAAAAAATTTTCAAAAAAAATTTTTTTGCAATAATTAGCAGCAGTTTTCTGAAATTGAAAAACAGTCCTATTTGGTTGATCGTTGTTTATTCAAAAAAAATATATATATATATCTTTTCTGTTGCTCAGTCGTTCTCTTTTTACTTTCTAAAAATTATATGGTTGAATAAAACACGGTAAATTTTCCTCTAACGCTTCATTCGAGCAATCATTTGTTTCATTTCTTCCAAGTTTTTTCTTCTTATTTTTTTAATTTTAATTTTTATTTATTTGTTCACTTGAAAAAAAAAAAAAAGCTGTAGATTTTTTCTCTGTTGAAGGAAAAATGTAATTATTTTTATTAATATTTATTAATGTGAAAAAGAAAAGCAAAAGAAAAAAGAACTAACGAAAAAACAAAGAATAAGAGCATAGTGAAATTTTTTTTGTTTTTTTGTTCTTCAGACAGTACAGTTTGTTCAAGGATTTTTTGTACAAAACTATGATGCAACAATCGAAGATTCCTACAGAAAACAGGTCGAAATTGATGGACAACTATGTCGCCTTGAAATTTTGGACACAGCTGGCACGGTATAGTCAAATTTGACTGTTAAAGAGAGTTATCTTATTTTATGTAACAGTTTTGCACAAATATCTCCTCCTGTTGGTTTATATTTTGTATCCAGAGTCTAAATCCATCGAATTGCTCAGGTTCTTTATTTCATCAGTTTGACCTTGTTCACACAAAGCTTTTTTTTCTTGTCATCAAAACCAGAATGCGAAAAAGAAGAAGAAGAAGAAGAAGAAAAGCAGAAAAGAAAATGAATAAATTAAAATGAACAGTTCTTTTCTTCTTCTTCTTCTTCTTATTTTTCTTCTTTTTATTGTTTTTCTTTCTTTTTTTCTGAACAGTACAATAGATGCTGTTACAACGAAGATTCTATGGTGTTCATTTTAAACAACAGCAGTTAAGGATGAGACAAGACAAAGACAGATTTCATCTTTTTCTCCTACTCTTTATTCTTCGTCAACTATCTTCTTTTTTTTCCTTCATTCTTTACTTCTTCTTCTGTTATACCTTCCTCTGTGTTATGTTTGTTAAACAAGAAAAAAGAAGTAAGTTGGACAAGAAAAAAAAAATTAATTAATACTTCCTAAAATTATTTTTGTTGTAAACCAAAAAACAGAAAAAAAAAGAGGGAAAAAGTGAAAAAATAGTGGAGAAAACAGGAAAAAGAGAAGACAATTATTAAGTACTT